CCTAAAGTGACCAGTGTTGCCTTTCAATAAAACTAATTTTATTTTCCGATAATTAAATTAAAAAAAATTAAATCTGAAATAAATAATTAATAATATTACTAACTAACAATCGTTAGATACAGGATATCAGGACACCCAGTGGGTGAATTATTTCATTACTGGGTGTCCAACTAGTCTTAACTGGGTGTCCATTTGAACACGGAAAATATATTTAAAAAATGCCCTGCCGCGTTCGTATATATCAGTATAAATAGCAAGTTTATAATAATCGTTTTCGCAACGACTRTACCGCGTTGACGGCTGTAATCGTTAACCTTCCGTGGAATACCTTGACAGTGTTGGCTGGACAGTTTGGTTTTAATTACATATAAAGCAGTCTCGTAGTATATATTCGTATCCAGTTTACGCAGTTGTCGACCTTAACTGTAGGTCATTTTTTTCCTACCTGTAACGTGTACGCCCGTTTGTTTTTTTTTGYACAGTACATAYGCAGTGATATTATAGTAWWMCACTTTAAAACSACAGCGAGAACCTATTGCGCGAAAGATTTTATTGTTTGTTTTTTTTTTACTAATGATATCGCGTTATATAATAATAATAATGATATCTTTTCGCCCCTTACAGGTGATGCGAGAAGTTTGGACGATCCGGTGGAGAAACCGTATGCAGTCATCAAGAGGATTCGAGGACACCAGGTGTGCCGAAGGCACGTTCCCCGATTTTTTGTGCGTGGGGAACAGATCGTTTTAGTGGCTAAATGTCTCGTTTGAAATTATACTACAGTATATTTTGATGATGTTTAATAAATGTATATTTTTGCGTGTTATAATTTTGAGTTTGGGACGAATAAACAAAATAAATCTACCAGGAAACGATAAAGGACTTTTTAGTTGGGGCGTGAACTGCCAAGTGTCAATCAAAATAAAAAAAATCTTGTGGAATGTAAATATTACAAGACATTATGTATATTTTAGGAGATGTCACAAATCATAATGTCTTGTTTAATGGAAATTTATGAATTTTGTGCATTATTATTGTTTTTGAAAATACCCCAAGGGCTCGCAAAAGTCAGTATAAGATAAACCGCTTTTGATTATTACAATGATATAAACGGCGTTGTCGTCGGATCCCCTTAATATTATATAGGCGGAAAATTGAATAACGGTACTTTCTCCGTGCGCCGCAGAAGAAGAAAATAAACCAGAATGATATTATGCCCGTCGCCGCCTGCTCTACCGGTTCGCATTCTGCACAGTTGGGATTATTCGGCGGCCGTCAGTGAAAGTAATCGCAGAAAAACTTTCACCTGGTTTGGTCTTCTATAACTGGTGTGATATCATATTATTATTATTATTAATGTAACGGCATTCACGGTTTTCACACTAAACGGCGTATAATATACACTCGTCGGTTAACTGGATTGGGGTTTAACTATATATATATATATATATATGTTTAATATGTACTTACTGCAGCCACTTATCGGTACCTTCAATGCGACCGTAGTGAATCGGCGGTATTTGTTTTTCTRCCTACTAATTATTCGAAAACGAAATTTAATTAAACGTTAACGCGGTGTGATGACTACTAACATCCGTGACTTTAATTATTCCAAAATATRACATTTATTTTTTAAAAGACGATTTCTTGCAACACCGCCAAAAACGACGTACTTAAGAGATGTACTTACGATTTTCGATTATGAATGTTCCAGACTGTGACGATATTACATACCGCAGCAGTCTTGCAGGATTAACGTGACGTAGTCACTTGCTCACATGGCTAGGCAATGGATAAGTTTTTTCTAGTAATAACTTATTAAGTAATAAGTAAGTTCTCTAAAATGTAGCTTATTGAACTAAAGTTTATTTATAGTTGTATATCTTAAAAGCTGAAAAACATCCATTGCTACCATAGTCCGTTCTATATATTAATAATCTGAATGTAATAATACTGTAGTCGTAGTTATATGGTTAAAGAGTAACTGAAAGTAACTGTAGTTTATATAAAATATAAGTAAAATATTTTTATCGACTGTTAGATAATTCTGATTCAAATAATGAAGTAAGTAATAACATAAAATTCGATATAACAAATAACATTATTTATAAATCCATATTGTGTATAGGTATGAATATTTACGAAAAYATGATTTAATGCATTAATATTGTGCATCGCGTCACAAACCGAATTATTCGGATGGTGGTAAATTTAGCTTCTTTCACGAGACCGTACGGAAGTTGCGTCTTTATAATACGCATTGTTCTTCACGCATTTGTATAGTATATTGTAATATAATAATATTAAAGTGTATGAGCCAAGAGCGCGGTAA